CAAGTGTATTGATCAGTATTCTCTGACAAATCAGTCAAGAATACCCCACCAATATTGCTTTATCCTCCCGACATCAAGCTCAACCCAAACAAAAAACCCAAAAGACCAATCCCAGATAAACACAATAATGCAAACTCTTGGAAAAATCCTACAAACCGAGAAGAGACCATCTCAAAAACAAGACACAATCAAGGCCTAACATCAGAGTCTCACAATTTTCAAAACTCAGCAGGGTGATCCAATCGAGCCTAAAAACAAAAACAAAAACAAAAACAAAAGAGGTCTCTGAACCCTTTTCCTCCCAACAGAATGGTCACGCCTTTGATCAATCATCACGTCCCGATCCATGAACCGGCAGCACAGCTCATCATCGTTCCTTACTCACAATGACTCAAAAGAACATAACCAGAAACCCAGGATCCAACAAACCGATGTCCAGCAAGAAACCACATCGATGCAACAACGACAAAGGCAAAAGGAAGTGCAGGATAGAACCTAACTAACCACCCCTTCAGCCGAGGTCAACATCACACCTTGGGCGGTGCTTGACATCCAATTAGTGAATCATCAAATAACTGGTGCGGATAAACAGACATTGACAACAGCAATTAGAAAATTAACCCACCACAACACAACACAACAAGCTTAAGACTGAGATCGCCAAAGCTCTCCGCTGGAAACACAAAACAGAGGCTGAAAGAATTCCGCATCACAGTTACCAGCAGCCTTGTCACCACCTCGACTCCCATTTAACCAGTAGACAACAAAACCACACTAAATTCCAATAAGTCCAAAACCACTGAAAATGTGGACCAATAGTAACAAGAGAAAGTTAAGACCAGAAGTTCTAAACCAGGTTCTACCCTGTTGCCAGGAAGCACAAGTCAACCCAATCAGACACCAAGGAAGAATGAGGAAGCCATACCAGACGAAACAGAGGTTCTGACGAGGCCATTGGACCCAACACCATTTGGGTTCCTTTCTCACTTTAACAATGGTACCAAAAGCGGAGGCCTATTCCAGCACAGACACCAAGTCCTCTGTGCGTTGAAC